GCATCTTCTCTCCATTTTGATAACATTCAATTTGACCTGATAAACTCCCAACTGTAGCCATGCAATTAAGTGCTACCCAATTCCCAACCATGTACTCTTCATCCAGTGTACATGATGCTTTACCAGGCAGAAAATCAACATCCAATCCTATTCTTTTAAATGAACTTTCATATATACCATCCTTACTATAGGCAAAGAAAATGTACGTTCCTGCATCAATTCTCATTACAGGGCTGATACTAACATGTAGTGAACAATGATCATGTTCACGTTCATTCTTGAAAATGAATCTGTGTACTTGTGCAGGTGGTAAAACGATGGCTTCTGTATCTGCCAATGTGTAAAAAGGCACTCTGATTCCATACTGTAATGTAACTCTTGTACTGTTACATGGATATGGAAAATCAAGATGTACACTATCACCTTCTATAACAGTCTTCAATTCATCTTCAGCTTGACACATGTTACACATGGCAAAGGCAATGAATATAGAAATGACTGGAAAATTCATTTTGACTTATTCCTTCGAAAGACTAGAATAACATCAAATTTCGTATAGATTTGGAAAATTACTTGACAAAACTGTTTCAAAGGAAGATCAGTCAATATAAATTCCTAAAAAAGGAAATGATGTACTTGCTGGCAAAGATGTGAACAGCTGTCCAGAACTTTATGTTCAGCAAGATGGTGGAAATGGGTCAGGTCCGATTAAAAGTATTGGCACTGTTTATTGACATTCAAACATACGTACGCTCCAATGCAACCTCCATTCAGAATATCTCTTCGTTGAGAAAGGCCCCTTTTTTCTGCTTGACTGTATGTTCAAAGTTATACTATGAAATCTACTGTGGTGTATGATGCACCTTTCCATGTGTATGTACATTGTGCCTTCACTGCTACATGTAGATGGCACTGGCTCTGGCTACAGTGTATATGCTTATTCACATTTATCAAAGTGAAGTCCAGTCAGTTTAGGGTAATATCCCATTTACTTGATGGTTGAATGGGATGTATTTCTTTGAATTCACAGTAAAAGTCCATCCGTATTTTGATTCTATGGTTCCGGTTGATTCTTTAGCTGCAAACCTATACGAATTTAGTTAAGAAGCACGTATTAGACATCTTGTACAATGATATAACATATAAAATCTATTTTGTTTCATTATAATACTGAGATTTTATATATAGTAGAAGAAAAAAGGAGTAAATCTTTTTACACACTTATGTGTGCAGAAGCTTTATCATGAAACTATGCTTTGTCTTAGTATGTACCCAAGCAAACAATACAACACATGTGCACGTGTATCAGTTGTATTGTATGTAACAAATGGTTTTATAACATAAGAATACATTTGAAAATGTACCTGTATACTTCAAACGTTGTCACACAAGCATTCAAATAATCCATTATGAGATCCAAATTTTAGTACAGCTCCATTTACAGACGAGAAATAGGTTTATTTTGTGTACTGGTACATTTATTCCAGTTTTGTTTCCTTGAGAGGGAACCAAAACATATAAAATAATATCATGGCAATTTTGTCTCATGCACATGTATGATTGGTTGATAGGACATGAGAATAATGATTGATACTAGTGACCTCTACATGTTTATGCAGGAGGGTTGAACCATCTTCATAGCGGGGGGCAAATAAAGCTGAAGCGTATGTTCCTTATACACGTAGGATTTACAATAAATTCATAACTAGTTGTGCGAATTCTCCCTACCCCCTCTAGAGAACTGAAACTCCTTTGTCATGAACTTGAAATAAATGACCTTTTATGAAGATAATATGTAAATATTGATATTAAACCATTGTTCATGTACATGTTCATGGCTTATGATCAAGGCTTTGTTTTGGACAAAACACCTAATGTAGCATCAGTTGTCAATAGAATTGAGCAGGTGATAAATAATACTGTCTTTCAGAGAGAATAACCCCATGCCTGAAGAAGGATAACATAAAGTGTAAAGTTCAGAGATAACTTTATTTGTTTATGATGATATAGTATCACAATGACAGTTAAACTGTAACAATTTTTTTTAAAGGAGTTTGATGAAAACCAGACAACCAATAAAACATCTATGATAATAAAAAATTATATTCAGGAAATGATTGGCAAATCCCTTTTGGGGAATAAAAATGGAAGTGGATGGGATAAATATATGAAGCAATTTGTGTAGTGGTTTTCTATTAAAGTTCCATATTTTTTCATACTATTACAAACATTCATACCGATTTTACTAAAATTTAGTTTGCTCTGTATCTCTTGTTTTTCTGCATCTATTAAAAACAAAATGTTTTTGGAGTGGACTTAGCCTTTAAACATGTTATTGCATGTATGCACTAATGTAGAATAAGTATTTTCCTTTTGGAAAAAGAAAAACCAAAAGTTTTTGTTTTATTTCAAGAAGTGGTTTGAGGTCGACTGTACTAGCTGTAATTCTGCTGAGCCTTGGTTTCTTCATATTCATGATTTCCATATGTAACAGTTACAGCCCTTTCACAATCAATCAGTTTATATCTATAACCATATTAAAGACAAAATTAAGATAAACTTCTCTAACAAAAAGAAATCTGCAATTCAAGTTCATGCTTGAATTCTGTACCCTGGTAAATCTTTCTTTTCCCCTTTACAGTGACGTCCCATTTGCAATGATTAAATCATGGAATGCGCAGTACACCTGAATATTGGGCCAAGTCAAAAGTGAAATGTTGCAAATTGCATTGTTTGAATAAAAAATATTAAAATTCAGTGTCAGAAGTGGAATTAAAAAGTCGCCAATTTCATGTTTTTTTAAAAAAGCAGGGTACATGATTAAAGAGATAGTTGAGCGCTGATAAAGGGGGAAGTTAATGATAATAAATCTTGATTTATGAAGCATTTATGAAATACAAAATACTTTTGTTGAAGATGTTTTTAATGTCAATAGTTATTAAATTAGTGGAAGGTATGTACATATCTTTGTAATACATTTCAGAATACCGGTAAGATTGTTTTCAGCTTTAAAGGGATCCGGTAACTTTGTCTCAGATTCTGAAACAAAATTCTGGATTTAGCTCATGATGCAATGATAATTATAAACCTCTAGGTCAGTCAGGAACCCCATGACTTTTACAAGCCGATCGCTTGTCTGATTATCAAGATATTTATGATTGGAATTACAAATTTTGAAAACCGTGATTCGCCTGACAGTTTTCATAACACTACAGTCTAATGGGGAAAACGAGTATGGTAAAACCGGTCACTCGAAGATTTACTTTTTTGAGGCACTTCTTGATCATTTTGAAGCGCAATTTTTTTAGGGCTTCAATATTACACCATATCACAGACACTGATAACACGTAGGGCCGTGTATCTCAGATTTAACATTGTTAAACGATCCCTTTAAGATAAAATGTTATCATTTGTAAACCAGTTGAGGAAAGCCTTTTGGGGGGTCAAATGGAAATGGTCAGCGATCAGTTAAACTTCATTGTGCACATCTTCTGAACTATATCCTGTTGTCTGACATGTACATGTATATTTTACCCTTTTTTTACATGTGATTAGGACATCCTAGTAAATGAATGTCATACTTTTCTTACATTTCTCACAAACATGGGCATTTTTTGTTGTTTAATGAATCTTTCAGCCACTGAGTCAGCTGTACCAAGAGATTGCCTACTCTTACTCCACAAACAACCCATCTGATGTGAGCAGTGTTCTAGAAAAACATTCTGATCAGCTCAATAGAGTAAGTAACATTCTTGAAAGGCTCAATAAGATATAATGTGGCAAAAAGAAAAGGACCTTTAACAAAAGTACCCTAAATTTCATCAGAGGTAGAAATTTATGATTTCACGTAAGTAGGGGTAGCAGGTCATATAGCTTTATAGCTTATGATAAAAAATGTTGTATCATTAAGCAAGCTAGGATGATAAATATCTCATTTTCCTAGAGGAGCACATTCAAATATTTATGGCTCATACTCATTGTCAATAACAAAGTACTAAGACTGTTAAGTTGACTGATATGCCTTATATCATCTGTTTGAAGCTAGAATGGTATTAACACATGCTTTTGAATAGTAACAACAACCTTCTGTCTTCCAAATACATGTAGATTACTTTATAACTTTGTTATATTGCAATATAACAAAGTTATAAAGTAATGTAATGTACGTCTTTATCCATACTGACAGAACAAAACAAAATGATAAATTTAACCAAATCTGTGTTTACCTTCTTCTGCTGGGCCCACATCCATTTCTGTTTCTTATTTACTTGGTGTATTTGTTATCAGTATTTATCATTTATACAATGTTTATAAATCTTGTTATTTTCTTTCCCCCTTGAAGGACCAGAACATGGGCCTAGGCAAACAAGTGGTGTCATCACTTTATCGAAAGAATATCCAGCGACTTACAAAAGTAAGCAATGTCTTTGTTTGTTTTTGTTTTTTTCAGTTGTGGATTTATAATTGATTGGTAGATTCCTGAAATATTTGTTTGTTTGTTGTTTGTTTTTAAAATCTTTTTGTCCTTCTCATTCATATGCTAGCATCTTGAAATGGAAAGTGAAATTATTGAAAGCTTTTGAATAGCCTATGTTTATACTGAAAGAACAATTATGTTCCTCTTTATCGTATATGAAAACCTGAATGAAGGCAAAAAAGCTTCCTTTTATTTTTGTATTGAGGAGGTTTATATGTGCTAACTCCCATGCTTTTTATTTTTTGAGGCACTTCTTGATCATTTTGAAGCGCAATCTTTTTAGGGCTTCAATATTACACCATATCACAGACACTGACAACACGTAGGGCCGTGTATCTCAGATTAAACATTGTTAAACGATCCCTTTAAGATAAAATGTTATCATTTGTAAACCAGTTGAGGAAAGCCTTTTGGGGGGTCAAATGGAAATGGTCAGCGATCAGTTAAACTTCATTGTGCACATCTTCTGAACTATATCCTGTTGTCTGACATGTACATGTATATTTTACCCTTTTTTCCAACCACTGAGCCAGTTGTACCAAGAGATTGCCAACTCTTACTCAACCAACAACCCATCTGATGTGAGCATTGTTCTAGAAAAACATTCTGATCAGCTCAATAGAGTAAGTAACATTCTTGAAAGGCTCAATAAGATATAATGTGGCAAAAAAAAAGAGGACTTTTTGATAACAAAAGTACCCTAAATTTCATCAGAGGTAGAAATTTATGATTTCAAGTAGGCGTAGCAGGTCATATGGCTTTATAGCTTATGATAAAAAAAATGTTGTATCATTATGCAGGCTAGTATTATAAAAATCTCATTTCCCTAGAGGAGCACATTCAAATATGTATGGCTCATAAAAATCTGACGGGCCGTCCAGAAGCATGTAGAGTCACAATAATAAAAGTATAATCTTCTTGAGTAAACAATGCGTAATACGTTTCAATTGTTCCCAGAAACCTATGATTTTTCTTCTTTGTCAATAACAAAGTACAAGGACTAATATGCCTCATATCATCTGTTTGGAGCTAGAAGGGTGTTAACACATGCCTTTGAATAGTAACAACAACCTTCTGTCTTCCAAATACATGTAGATTACTTTATAACTTTTTTTTTATCTTACATGTACCTCTTTATGACAAAAATAAACAAATTGAAAAATCTAACCAAATCTGTGTTTACCTCCTTCTGCTGGGCCCACAACCATTTATGTTTCTTATTTACTTGGTGTGTTTCTTATCAGTATTTATCATTTATACAATGTTTATAAATCTTGTTATTTTCTTTCCCCCTTAAAGGACCAGAACATGGGCCTAGGCAAACAAGTGGTGTCATCACTTTATCGAAAGAATATCCAGCGACTTACAAAAGTAAGCAATGTCTTTTTTTTCTTCTATGTTTAGTTGTGAATTTTAAATTAATAAGTGGATTCCTGATATGTTTTTTTTTTTTTTTTTTTTTTAATCTTTTTTCCTTCTCATTCATCTGCCAGCCTCTTGAAATGGAAAGTGAAATTATTTAAAAGCTTTTGAATAGCCTATGTTTATACAGTAAAAACAATTATGTTCCTCTTTATCATTTTGTATACCGGTATGAAAATCTGAGTGAAGGCAAAACAGCTTCCTTTTATTTTTGTATTGAGGAGGTTTATATGTGCTAACTCCCATGCTAAATGACAAGGTAGAGAAAAATGAAGAAAAAAATAAATAAAAGAGAAAAACCAGAGAAAGAAAGGCAAAGGCAAAGGCAACATGAAAAGAAGATGGTACGAGCCCCCCACCTCCACTTCCACACACAAACAAACACGCATTCTCCCTCTCTTTCTTTCTCTCTCTCTCTCTCTCTGTCTCTTTGTCTCCCCTCATTGGATGGCCTTGCACATGTACATCCAGATGGTCAGAATCCAATCCCTCCCTCCCTCCCCCACCTTCTCTGTTACAATACCGTAAGCAGCTTTACAGCGCAGTCAGGCACTGTGAATCATGTGTAGTGTACCAATAGGTCTGTGGTGAAAAATGCACTCCTTTTAACCTGAATACCTTCAGTGTACTTTCAAGATTCAATATCAATAAGTTTGTAATCATGAAAACTTGCTTTCTTTAATTTTGAGATTACACTTCACTAAACACCCTGAACCATGACCAATGAAAGAGAAAAATCCTAATTTTAGCAATTGTCTCACAAAATCTTACCCATTAACATGTATACATGAAATATATTTGTGAACTTTGGAGCCATAACAAATTCTAAGGCGCGCAATGCAGTTGAGTTCAATTGCTACACAAGAGGGCGACATACTAGTGAAGTAGATGTGAAGATTGAGTTGTACAGTACTTGTCAGTATTGGTCTTTCTCTTCAGACCTTCCTCACGTTATCTCTTAGTGACATCGCAAGGAGAGTTCACCTACATGCATCGCAAGAGGCTGAGCAGTATGTCAGAAATATGGTGAGAAAGCTTGCTCCACTATTGAATTTGTTTAGTAAACCACTCATGAGAAAAAGTATTTGACTTGCAGAACTATACAACTATATCCAATAACGCTCAATGAAACTCCTTAAGATTTTTATTTTATTTTTTCTTCTCATTGTAAGTTTGGTGACTATAAGACTATATGATTTTGTTGAGTGATAACTTGCAGAAAGTAACTTGCAGAATGCATTGTTCTAGAATTGGAATTGGGTTAAGGAATGGATTTGTAGATGTGAACCTGACTATGATAATGATTCACCACTGATAATTGAGATGGAATTGGATGTTAGATCGAAGTGTAAATTTACTGTGGTAATGTAGTTGTTGGGGTTGTAATTAATGTTGCTACACATACTGTTAGACGTGTTTGGATTTAAACAGAAACATTTAATTTGATTAACATTTTTCAGATTGAAGATGTTGAGATCCATGCAACAATCAGCAAACAGAATGGAATGGTTCATTTCCATGACAACCCAGAAAAATATGACAATCCTGCAGTACTCAGACACGTCGAGCAACAGGTTAGTTAATTTTTCTCCACGTATCTGAAAGGAACGTTTATAGTCATAGCTTTAAAGTGGAGCATTTTTCTTCAAAAGATTTTTCATTTTAATTTTGATCAAATACCTGTAATTTTTCACATTGAATTTGTGGGTGTATAAGTTGGTATTTTGAAGAGCATATAGATGTAAAGAAGTCAGAACTTGTTGTTTTCAGTTGAATGTTCATGTAAAGGCATTTAGATTTCATCTTCCCCACTACGCATATCCTTCGTCAGGTTTTATCTCTTTATTTGATTTCATCGTATCTCTGCACGTTCGCTGATTTGCCACATTTTGCACAAAACAATTTATGGCTTTTAAAAATACACATTATTGGTCTTGATTACCTCTATGACAAAATTTTTTAACACTGGTATAGGCTGATCTTGCACTGGAAATGGATAAATGATGTTGAAGCCTGTGCTATAGTTATCCAAAGATAGATACAAGGTGGCACTGGCGGACTATTTGTGAGGCATATAAATATAAAGAAAAGGTCTGTAGGCATTATTAGACTTTTGTTTTCAATGATAAGACTATTAATGAATACAAATCCCATATAGTCTTCATAAAGAGTGGCACTTATTGATTCAAGTATAAAGTGCAATAATAAACTTCATGCAAATTCACAGAGCTTAATTGGGAGAAATGTAAATTTCTGTGTCTAGACAGCTACGACGAAGGTCGTAAATTTTCAAAAGATCATAACACAAAAACAGCATATTTCGTTAAAAATACTGTCAACACATAAACTCACATGATTTCTTTTTTTCCATCTGTAATTAGCAATATTTGCCCCCAGTACCCCCAGTTTTTTTTTTTTTTGGGGGGGGGGAGGGGGCTGAGAACTAGTAATGAGGGAGTTTGAGTTAAAGTAGTTTTTCAAATCCATGATAATACATTTTATATTCTGTCATGTTTTTATTTTGAATTACCAATTTTTCATCACAGATGCAGCATTGTATCAGTCTAGATGAGAATCTAAAGAGCATGGATCAAGAAATAGCTGTTAATCCACAGTATGTTCAAAAGGTGAGACATGTCCGAGATACTTTTCGAAGGGGGGGGGTGGTGGGGATCGGGGATGATGGACTGCAAAGTTGAACTCTTTCGGGTTAGTTTTTGGGTCATATTGTCTTTTACTCCACTTGTATATCTTGTAATGTTTCACGTACAAGCATTTCCACAAATCAGGGAAGCACCAACTCTTTCACAAGTACTTAATTTTATAGGTTAACTATAAAGCTTAGACTTGAAGAATATTTTCTATTCCTTAAAATTACCATGCTATAATGATATCATTCCTTTTTATTTCCATTAATGTCTGATGTCTTTCTTTCTTCTGCCCTCTACAGAGCATGGGAGTACGAGAAGACGATGAAGTGAGCGGAGTCTTTGGAGGGAAATAGGACACACTGTATAGCTGGATGTACATAACCATGGTGGATTTGTGAACTGCAGGAAACAGGAAAACAAGAGAATTACATAACCTATTTATATATACCAACCCCTTTTTCAAAATTGTCAAAATTGAACCCTGCATGGTATTGTTTTCTTTCTTTTTTCCAAAAGTACCCAGTCATTTAACACTTTCCTGTTCAGAAAACAAAGTTTCATTTATGCATTTCACATAAAGTGTGTATTCCTGAAGAAAAAACCGCACATACATATGTAATTTAGTTGCTCACTGAATTTACACAGAGCTTGTTTAGGGTCTTAGAGACTTGCCAATGGTTTAGCACATTTATAAACACAGCTTCTTGAGTATCATGACAAAACTTGAGCTTAAATGCCATATAAAGATGTATTTCTCCAAGGTGTGTAACAGAAATAGGTATCATAATGTGTAACCTGAATCCTTGGCAATCTTGTAGACTGTTATTCTTTAATTCTTCCCCCAAATCCTTCCTTCCATTTCTTCTTTTTTTTTCTCCCCCTCTCCTCTCCATACATTTTGAAAGCAGTGGTAATACAGACCTGTGTAAATGTTCTCCGTTTTACTGTATTCTTTAAAAACAGATTAATAACAGCATATGATATTGAGGTACAATTCAATGAACATGCTTTTAGGACAGAAATTATGTAAATTGCTTGTCCAACCAATCTTTTAATGATTTTAATTTTTTGATGATTTAAAATTTCCAAGTGATCGTCACATATGATATCTCATTTTGATATCAGACAATAAAAATTCACAAAGTGTACCGGTATCTGAATTACTGATTTTTTTTTGTATAATAAATTTGCCAAATATTGTATCGAATATAACAAAAAAAAACATGTAAAAAGAACATTCAAGCCTAAGCTACTACCTGAATACTCAGGACATTACAAGGTGGAAAATGATTGAGATGAAAACCACAAGTCAGAAAGCATCACCAATTTCTTAATTCAGTCGTTGAGAATCAAATTGTGCACATCTTATCGTCATTTTAATATTTGTGATTTGCCATTCAATTCCAGAATTTATAGGAACACATATGTACATATATTTGTAAAGCTCTTTAGAGTGTTACTAAAAAGGTGCATTGTGAATGATATGGTTAATGATATTGTATGTTTGGAACCAGAAGAAAATTAACTTATATACTTTTAAGAGTTAACACTCTTCTGGGTCTAAACAGACAATGTACAGGGCATATATTTTTCCATCAATTTATTTTGAGTTTCAGCTCCTGAGTCAAGTTTCATGAAATTTGATACGGATAACTAGCGACAAGAGTTGATGAGTTGGTAAACTATTGAAATCAATGCATTTGATGTATTTGTTGGAAAGTTCTGAAACGTGAGGGGAAAGAAGAGACTTTTTTTATTTAATTCAAGAAGCAAAGTGGGCAATGACAATAAAGAGGTGGGCAAATATCGTTAAAAGTTGAAAAATCCAGGTCCTTTCAAGAGATGGAGAAACTTATTATACACTGTGAAAAGGTTGGGCAATATTTTTTCAACACTTTGCCCAACGTTGTGCCAATAGTCAACCCAACCATCTATTGGGCAATATTTTGCCCAGTGGTATTGGTAAACGTACGTACCCTTCTTCACACGTGCATAATTGTTTCGTATTTTGACCAAAGTTTGTGCAAAGATATGACCCTTCAACTGCCCGACTACGGTAGCCACTTGTTGGGAAAATCTTGACCAACTGTTGGGCAAAATATGAAAATATTGCCCAATAGATGGTTGGGTTGACTATTGGCAAAGTGTTGAAAAATATTGCCCAACCTTTTCACAGTGTATGATACTTATTAAAGTCTCTAATCTATAGATGCCTGTTTGTAGGGAAATGTGAACTTTATCTTCCTGTAGCCTCTTTTATTATGTCCTTTGGTATGTTAACCTTCAGTTTACAAGTATTTGAATGAGTCGCATCTTGTTTTCTGATTATCAAAGCTACTTTATTCAACTGCAATTATAACGTACAGATGATGAATATGAAGAAGGGAAAGGATTCAAGGATAATAAATGTATGTCACTTTTGTGTGAACACATTTGTGTAAAAAAAACTGGGTCATTGTTTTATTTGATATTCGATATGAATAAATGAGAAGATTGTGTAATTAGAATCTGTCATCATTCTGTTGAAGTGGATCGTGATATGCTTTTTTTTTTTAGAGAGAGAATGAATGGTAAAGAGAGATAGGAAAGAGTATAGCGACTGAGGGAGAAAGAGAAGAGAGAGGGAATAGGGGTTATCTGGTTCAAGTGTCTGTTGTCATACTATTGGTTCTTTAGCTATTTGTTGTTGAAATATCACAAGTACATAATGGACCTTAGGAAGGAGGTTTTCTTCATTATACAAATCAGAACAAGCATTAAAGAAAGTAATGTTGGTAATTGCTGAACATGTATTTTGAAAAATAGAACAAATAGTGCATTCATTTAAAGGGAGTATCGTTTGTTTTTTCTGTGCCCCCTACCTTGTCGGCATGGCTCGAAAGACAAGGAAATGTCTTGCCAATTAAAGTGGGGCTTTCGATAAATACATTTATATGCCTTGTATGCCTTATGCATTCGTTATACATAGACTGCTGTATGAGTTGGCCCTATTACGGGCAATCCGACCCTTGTCATGTGTATGAAATCAGAATAATAAGAGGAAAAGAATGACTGAAGATTGAAACAAATCTTTTAGAGAAATGGCACAGACCATGAACAGATACGTTTTCATGTTCATATACAAAACAACAAATTGTAAACGTAATATTAAAAAATGAACAACCAGTCATCAGGAAATTGGAAGCAAAAATCCTTTATTCAGCATTTGTACGACACGTGGTAAACACCCAAGATGCTTACCTTTTCTTAGAAAAACAAGAGAAAACAAAAAAGATGCGTGTGAGAGGAAAAATGGTAGAATCTCTCCATTTTTCACATGCATATATACAAATAGATGATGAACAGTTTTGAAAAGCCTATATAATTCTTAAGTTGGGAAATAGATTTATGTCCAAACTTAAGGGTCATACTTTTCAAAAACTTTGAATTATATTAAACATGAAATAAAATGAAATGATTTCAGGATGAAACCAGAGAAAATTTAACTCCTATGCAGTGGCGGATCCAGGGGGGGGGGGGGGGCGGGGGGGCCCCCCCCCCTTGAGAAAAAAATCATGTTAAATCACGTGATTTTTACCTTTTTGGGGGGTTGGGGACCCCCCCCCCCCCTGGCGCTCAAGGGGGGGGGGGGGTGCAAATCGAATTTTTTTTGAGGATCAAAAAAAAAAAATGTGCTCACTACCCCCCCCCCCCCCCCCCCCCCCCCCCCCCCCCCCCCCCCCCCCCCCCCCCACCCCCCCCCCCCCCCCCCCCCCCCCCCCCCCCCCCCCCCCACTGAGCGACTTTTCGGCCGGCGCGATTTTCAAATTTTCGGGAGCAAAAAAAAAAAAAGTTGGGCCCCCTCCCCAAAGAAATCCTGGATCCGCGCCTGCTCCTATGCATGTCTTACAACTTAAAATTAGTAATTTTGAATTAGATATTTTAGAAGAAGCGACGGATATCATTTCATAACAACTGCCCAAAAAGATATTAACAGTGATGTCTTAAATGTTTGAATACATTTGAATTCTTGAACATTGTCAAAGCTGAAAACAGCTGTTACATGTCATATACGAGAACATAATGAAAGAAACCTCTGTTGGAAATTTGTTTGGTTGAAAAGAACTGTCAATAGATTTTTCACATTTCTAAACTTATGGTACATACTTTTCACAAACTTTGAATTCTATTAAACATGAAGACATATGTTATAATTTATTAATAAAAGCAAAGATATTTTAAAAAGCTACAGATATCGTTTCGTAACAAAAGCCCCCCATACAAGCGATGATATCTTAAATCTTTGAACACGTTTAAATTCTAAAACATTGTCAAAGCTGAAAACAACTGTTACATTTCTTATACAAGAACATAAAGAAAGAAACCTCTGTGTGAAATTGTATTCGTTTCGGGGTAATTTTTTTCCTTTTTAAGCATCGTAAAACCACGATTATCACATGCAGCTAACATGCAAAAGAACAGTTTGATTTTACCTTACCCAATCGTATTAAGTGGTGTTCCTGTCTATGCAGTTCCCAAGTAATTACGCGGTTTGTTATGTACGAATTTTACTAAATAGATCAAACAAACAATGCATTTAGTTAAGTATATCTTTATATAAAATAGAATACTCAAACAATTAATGTAAATAAAATATTTTGTCATTACTTAATAAACTACTCAAACAATGTGAAGAATTGATTGTTGGAAATAGCTAAAAAAAATAAACTAATTAACAAAGATAAACAAACAATATATTATTGATAGAGAAGAATTGTTGGTAACTGCATACATGCTTCCGACAAAACAGAACAAATGTTAATATTTACACACAATTTGTATTTAAAAGTGATCCACCATCCCCTTCGAGGATTGTTGATAATGGCATAATGCTGTACAAAATAGCGCAATTAAAAAAAAAATCGTCAAATAAAGCATTGCTCATAAATGCTTATATACACCGAAATAAAACTGTCAAACTGATTCCAAACCAATTCCAAACTGACTGATTCTCGGCCATTTAGTTTAATGTCTTCTACTTTTCAGTCTATTGGTTGTCTTTATGATAGTATGTTTCACCATAGGAAGACAATATGATTAGATTTTAGAGACACTAGTCAAAAGTCACAGAGGTAAACTTCTTAAATTCCTGCTATAATATAGGATTTATTGAAATCAAACTAAATCACATCAAAAAGTATACATAAAAAATTGGCAATGGTGAATACATAAATAATATATAAAGTTAAAATATAAAATAACTATCGTCACTGAATATTGCAAAAAGAACATATAAACGATAACAACAATAAGTATAAATCAATACAATTACCTCAATAGAGGACTCTCGAGCTGTTGTGCAATAACTAAATCAGGCACAGACTGAGAGTCCAAAACAAAACAGAAACAACCAAAAAAGCCTTGTTATTCCAAAATATCCGGAACGACTAAAGATATGAGGCTC